GCACCATGACATTGTGTGGGCAAATATTTAAACTCCAGGCGTCCGATGTAATAAAATTTCCAATGTTAGTATAAATATACGTATGGATATAACATTCACTAAATATTTCCCTTAATAATAGAGTAAGAGTCTGACAAGTTTCTTCCTACGAAATAAATATGCAAAAGAAAATACTTCATAATTCCAATGAAGGCCATGATAAGATTTATACATTTGTACCCAAAAAATCATAAGTGAAAAAGGTGAGATAAAAACCAATTATCATGTAATGTGAAGATAAGGAGCAGGATTCCTGCTAAAAGGAGACATTTTGTTTATTTAAGAGTGTGATTTTACTACCATAAAAATGATCTTTAATCCCAATAGAAATATTACTTTTGTTTATTTTGCTCTGTACAAAACATGTAGTAGTAGCATTAAGGTAGGATTCTCCTCATATTTCTTGTCTTTAAAAATGAATAGAATTTTGATAGAATAAAGAAGACAATATCGCTACTTGATGGTATCAGTGAAATTAAATTAGACCGTTTTATATTTGAGACAAGGTCAGGTCAAGGCTATCACCTTTTTCCCGGACATTAATTATTAATAGAATAACTGTTGTAAATCATCCAATCCCTACTTGCACTTCAAAATATTGAATGCTTTTCTTTTTGCATAAAAAAGATTAAGAGAAAAAGGCTATCATAAAAGGCCTATAGGATGATATTACCAAATTGACATAAATAATTTCACTGAAATGGATATTGGCTAATCCGTATTCGCTCTACCTTTTTAAAATTTTTAGGATATATTAGTTATTTTTATGCTTCCTATATTTAATTTTTTTCATTTTCGCATATGGTATAGTTGTCACTTAAAGATACAAAATAATAATAAAATACAGAAAGTTTTGATCGTTTTTTTTTGAGAGAAAAAAAAAACATTTTTACGAATTTTTGGCTCAAATCAGTACTCACATTGGAAGCTTATAAAACCTAATAAAGTTCTATTTCGTTTGAAAAATCATATTTATTTGATATATTTAGGAATTTTAGTCCCTTATTACTTTTAAATTAAACTTACATTGGAAAATATCTTCAAATCTTTGATTGTGTAAAAATTAAAACTTGAGATACAGAAAAGAAAATATTTTTTATACGCAATCATTCCGCCAAAAATACAGTCCCTGCTAGTTTTCAAAAGTACTTTACCATTTCTATTTCGAGTTGTGCAATTGTGATGATAAAAGAAAAATAAGGTCTTTTAAATCTCTTACACCTAAATATATAAGACATATAAGCAAATGTACTTTGAATATTTCATCTAGTCAGAAACCAGAGAAGAATCCCACCTTAACTGAATCAACGGAACTGCGGACTTTTTAACCGACTGTAATAATATATATTTCATATACATAATCTTTTTTAAAACAGATTTTACTCAACTTTTAATAAACCATACTTTGATTTTGGAGAAACAAAAGCTATGTTTAACAAATTCCAGTGACGATACTTTCAAGACTTGTCACTATGCACTATGAAGGAGTTGATCTTTCTGTGGTCCCTACACAAGATTGTAAGGAAAACACAATTCTTATTTGTAGTTGATAAAAGTTATCTGTTAGATATTTCATTGAAAGCTTTACTGACTTCTGGTATGCAATCAAGTAAGCGGGGGTAGAGATTTTAATTTCATTGTTTTTTTTAATTTATATATATTTTTTATTTTACATTATTCTTGTACCTATTTTTTTTCTTTGATTACCAGCTTTATATGTATATACCATACATTTGCAAGTGATTGTCTTTGTCTTATGTTTGTTACTGTGAATGTATTTTTTTTTTTTTTAAATTTCATAATTTTTAAAGGGGCAAATTTTAAGTTGCTGATGCTCACTATCGAAAGAATAATCTTTAAACATGTCTGATGCTCAAACTACCACATTTCATTTCTTTTTTTAAATTACAGATATTTCATCTTACCATCCATATATTCCATATGTAAGTCTTGATATGCTTTAATGGATCAAATATTATATATTTTTCAAAAATATTGAGGGTGTCCTTGCTTAGAACCGAAAATAGAAAAAAATTAATCAGCTATTTACATAAAATACCGTGATGCAAAGAGGGTCAATAGATAGAAAAACATGTATTCATTTCTATACTTCCCTGAAAGTGTACCATATTTTTCTCAAGTTGTGGGTTTAAAAAACCATAGCATCAAGGTAAACCATATTTATATCTATGGAAAAATACCGTTAACGTTTTGAAGCCGAAGTTGTTTTCGGATTTATCTATTTTTCTAAGAAACAGAAAACAGCCTGTAAAATTAAAATAAAAATCTAATTATGTATTTAACTATTAAATAAATAACCTTAAAAATATCTCACATTAATGTCACATTATATGTTCCAAGATACATATTAATAATGTAATCAGTTATGCAAATATCTCTACGTTAGGCCTGGGTGAAATTAAGCAGGACAACATAGTTTCCGGAACACCTAAGCACGTTTATGACAGACAAGATAAATTCAATAATGTAATCTTAATTCACAGTAACTTATTTCACAGTAATTTATAACCAATAAAACAACTTAATAATGTGTCAGTATTAAAACGTTTAAATAAAAAGCATTTCTACAAATAAACAACAAACGGCTGAATGATAAAACTACCAAAATGACTGGAACATACAATTGTGATGAGTGTATACATGGCATAATTCAAATGAATTACACGTGCTTTTAACGAACTTAGATAAAATGACATTAAGAGTCCATGTCAGTAAGCATTGAGCTTTGAATGGAAAGTCAGAATTTTTAATTTTCTTGAAATCTGTGTATATTGATTGTTTCTGTCACAACCACACAAAAAATACAAAAATACTGATTTCAACCATAACGACACTATCGTATTCAAGGAAAAAGAAATCCTCAGTTACCATAATAGATTTTTTACTTTCAAAACAGGAAAATATTGCCATAAACAGAGTCTTTATGCACACAGATATTGTCAGAAGATTGTTTTCAATAACTTATTCATTAAAGAGGACTTAATTCTAAGTTCTTTTGTGAAAAAACTAGAAGAAGGATTTTTGACTTTCAAAAAAACAGTGAGAATATTGCCATAAAAACAGAATTTTTTGTCTATATGCACACACAGATATGTGTGTCAGAAGATTGTTTGATATATGATATATTATTAACATTTAAGGAAGAGGACTTAATTCTAAGTTCTTTTGTGAAAAAACTAGAAGAAGGATAAAACGTTCGCTCAACTAGGACCTGAGGTCCCCTGATCAGTACACGACTAAAGGGCCTGTTTACTCCGCTACAAAATGTAGTGCGTTGCATACGTAAAGTGAAAATAGAATAAATCGTAATACTGGGAAGCCTTTACAGTGTAAAAAAAAGAATATTTTGTCAAAGGAATAACCATCTAATGGCTCGCACTTTTTTGGGGAGAGGATTTGAAAAAATAAATTTACACATACCATGATTTTAAATTATCGCCTGTCTCATTCATATACTTACAGTTTGTGAAGTATTAGAAAAGATAGAAGGGAGATGTGTGCTAAGCAACATTAACTGCAAAATTATAAGATATATGATATATTAGTTTAACATTTAAGGATTATGTTGGGTGACCTGTGGTCTCCTCATGATTTTATTATTCCATGTAAGGTTAATCTATATAACACAGTACCTAACCTCTGATCTCCTTACTAATAGTAATCGACTCAGAGAAAACGACGTCCAGTCTCTGCATTCGCAAATCTGTAACAAGCAGGGGGAGGTTGAAGATCTTGCCCCCTACCACCCCCTACCTCTTCATTTCGCTCGGACTTTTCACCATTTCTTTCACATAATGGAATAATCTTTTGTTAATAAATTATTTAATATTTTCTTTGTCTCCCTCATGAGGTCATGCTTCAATAGACGACCTCATCACTCTAAAATTTTTTAGTAAACTCCTGATTGTATTTATCTTACAAAGAAATTGCAATATAAGTTGTCAAGCGGACCCTTGTAACATAAAACTATATTGTCAGGCATAACATTTTTTATTGGTGACAACACACCTTACTGATGTAAAAAGTTCGCTGGTGGTAAAAAGATGATTTCACATATTAGATGTAAGGAAAAATACGTAGATACTGAACAGAGATCAATTACCGGTCATGATAATTATAAACAACCATAGTATATTTCAATGGAGTATTGTTAAGTTTTTACAAAGAATCCTAGATAATTAAATTGTAAACAAAGGATTGAAAATGGAGCGGATCAATTGGATAATTATAAACAATCATAGTATGTTTCAATGGAGTATTGTTAAGTTTTTACAAAGAATCCTAGATAATTAAATTGTAAACAAAGGATTGAAAATGGAGCGGTGGGTTGTTGTTAAACCACGATCGGCAATGTTGCAAGTTTTGTAAACCAAATCCGAGTTAAAATTAGTCATAATAAATGCTGTTTAAGTTAAATAAATCAAATCACTTTAGACTCATTAACTAAGTTTATGGTGCATTTCCATCCAAAATAAATTAATTAATTGTAAACAATATAACAAGTAAGTACATAGAGGTCTCAAACATTACATTAAAAATGCTTAAAATTATTATAAAAAAGGACCCATGTGCCACAATAAACCATGCTTTAGGATTGATAAGAAGCTTAAATTTTAAAAAGGGTTTAAATTAATTGATTTAACATTTTAAATGTAATTGTATAATAAATTCAAATTGGCACATCCTATTTATTGTATGGTATTTAACGTCCCACTCAAACATGCACTAATTGATAACAAGCACTTAAATTTCAATAGTAAAGTTCATTCAAAATTCTCTTACACTCAAAAGACTTAGGTATAATGTATTTACTAGACAAAAGATTATACGAGTTAATTTCCATTATAATATTGTTGATACTGCATGTGCAGGTCTCCTTCACCTTTGGTCTTTAATACAACTCAGGAGCTATTCTCCCTCATGTCACAACCACGCCAATCGGGTATTTGATTTGTTTATTGAAAGAAACACATGATTACCCTTTGAATGGTGAATACAAGCCCTCCAGCTTGACATTAATTTTGAACACTCAATATTCATATGTCATTCATTATAAATTTTCAGTATTAACGAGATATAAACTCTAGCTTTTGTTTCTAATCATCATGACAGTCTGTTTCAACGCTTCATCAGATTTCCAGTTCTCCCATACCGGGTAATTCCAACCGAACACAGCCGACTGGGCATACTCTCCGTTCAGGTTTGATTTCAGACAGTTGCTGTACCACCAGGCTCCGTGCCGCATTATAGCGCAGCTACCATCAGTTTTGTAGTCATTGTCTTGGTCCTTGGTACTGAACCTCGAACCACTGTGCCAAGTCAAACTGTCACCTGCAACAGAGTATATGATTCTTGCCATTATAGCCTGATTTAAATTGGTAAGTTTTATTCCAAGCCAGACTATCACCTGTCACAGAATATCTAGAAAACATTAGATGAAAATGGTCTACGGAGTGATGATCACTCCTGACACCTTTTTTGAATATTGATGATATTTAAATGATAAATAAAAAATCCCTTAAAATAAAGTTGCATACCATTGGTTTTCATAGTGACGTCATAAGTGATCGACGTGTTCAACATTTTTTTTTTAAAAATTAATCATTCATATGTTTAGAAATTTAGTACCTTACTATTTGTAAAAAAAAAAGGTCACAAATGAAATATAAGTGATAAGGTATCATTTTTTGAGTTTTATAGGGTATATAAAATGGGTTGGCACATGATAAAATCTTCAAATGACCAACCCGTTTTACATCCCAATAAAACTCAAAAAAAAACTTCTTTAAAAAAGTAGAGACTTATAATTAGTGCTTTCATTTTCTAAAATAAAATTTCTTTTTGAAAATCTAGGTATTGGAAAACAGGCTTTGAGAAAATGCAGTATTCTTGAATTTTGGAGAAAAGATACGTATTTGAATACCTTCAGCGAAAATTCAAACGTATACACAGCCAAAGATGCAAAATTTAAAACATGTTTATTTTTATCTTTCAATGTGTAATTCTATATTTTGAATCAGGAGATTAGTTCTTGATAAAATTAAAAAAAGAATGCTTTAATTTTAGGCCATTATCGAAGGAATTTACAGGATAAGGTAAACATACGTCATTTCTCAACTTCATAAAGTAATCGACTAGAGGGAGAATTGCGATATGTTATAAAGATACATGGTTACCAACATTATCAGTGAAAGTACTACATTTTAACCTTAACTGAGCAGTTAGATTTTTCAAAAATTGTCTAGACCAAAAAAAAGCGTGACACTTGCTCTTTGGTGGCACCCAACGAAATGTCTTGTACCAAGGAATACACTCGAGAAATATGAAAGCCATATCCCCACCAACTCATAGGGTATTAGCAAGGTAAAAGTATTTTCAATGTGTACCATCAAATACCTGTACAATATGTACAGTCAATACCGTCACCTGTACAATATGTACAGTTAAATACCTGTACAATGCGTTGATCCCACTACATCTAGGCGGATCTCACAACTTACCTGCTGTTCCGCTGTATCCAGATACTGTCAGTGTATATTTATTGTCTTCATCCCCGATGTAAAATGTAGTGTACATAGCATGGGCCTTTTCTCCATTATGACGTTGGAGATCCACACGGAGTTCTTGGTTTTTATCCTTTGTTAAGGTGTGGATTGCTTCATTTCCTATATAAAAATATAAAACAAAACAATATTTAACTAAAAATGACCAAACGAGACGAACATTTGAATTCAATATATTTTCGGGATGGCCTGTCCCCTTCCTAAGGACAAAAAGTTTAGAATGAAGGATATGGAGATAACGAAGAGTATTGGATATTAAGTCTGTAAAACTACAAAATAGGAGCAAACACAGACCTGCAAAACATCAGAAATTGGATCAGGTGCCATCCAGGAGTGAGCTTCCCCTGCGACCGGTCGTGTTCTCCTTCTCATAATAGGGAAATAACGGAAAAATCTGTCGTCAATTCAGTGTGTAAATAATGAACTACCAATTAGTATGTAAAACGTCAGTCAGCATTTGTATTTGCTGATAAGGTCATTGTATCAATCATAGAACTTACGAAGAAGTAGTAAAACAAAGGGAACAGAGAAACAATCAGATTAAACCAACTAAACGAATAAACACTAAATAATATGTTGACGGTGCGACCGTTAGAGCGAGCGCAAACTCTTCTATTGTTTTAATTTAGATCGGGCTCATCAAACCGCACATGACATTTGCTGCGTCTAGACTCTGACTTCACATGACGTAGTATGTAAGTTACAAATACCAAGAAAAAACTGAACAGTACTGAAAGTAAATGAAAAAAGTTACGTTTACAATTTATCTTCAATATGTATCCATTTACATGTAATCAAGGCCAGTAAACTTTTTGTTGAACATTTGCCGTCATTCTCGCGAGAACGCAACTTTGCTTAGTGATGCATTGTGGGTCAAAATTACTGCGGCAAAAAATTCTAAAAAATGAATGTGCAGTAGTCCGAATTTTCTCTTCGCCCAGGCGTCGTCGTTAGAGCTCGCAGTTACGAGCGTCGCTTCGCGACGCTAGCTGCGCTCGCTACTAACAATGTGAAATATTAAATACAAAGTTATTAACCTTTTCGAAAGATAGGAATACAGAGTGTTATGAAATTAATGTATAAACGTCATGGCTGGGTTGCTCGGTCAACTGGGGGTGCTCATTTCACTTATGCAACTGATCCAAGCCTCCTTAATTTTTTATGATTGCTTTAAGAATTTGTATTGTTTATTGATGTTTTTGTTATTTCTTGATCATGAAAACGAGCACAAGGCGGGTGTGCCGGTCTGCAGGGGATGCTCATTCCTCCATGGCACCTGATCCCACCTCTGATGTTTCAGAGGTCCGTGTTTGCTCAGCTCTTCTTTTGTATATTGTTTAATGGACTTTGAGATTAAATACTGTTCGGTATCTTCACATCCTTCTTGATATCGAATGGCGTTGGTTGTCTTTGTTTTTCATCAATGTTTTCCACATTTCACTTTCGAAAAAATTGAACCTTTTAGGCGACCTAGATATAAAAACACGTATGTTCTGCTTTGTTATAAAAAATTTAAATTATTCAATCAATATAAATTAATTTATTTGATAATACCTATCCAATAATTGTTAGAGACATTCCCAAATCCGTGTTTATACTCTATCCATGTCCTGTAAAAATCGACGTCACCATCCTGTCGTTTCTGAATGACCTGTAAACAATGATTGAGACGTATTTAATCAAAATAAATAGCATCGGCCACTTTTTTTCATCCTTGAAAATTGTCAGTTTAAAAGGTTGATTCATTATTGCATTAAACGACCCTGTAGATATATCAATTTAATTATTGACAAGCCTTTTATGTTCCATTTTATATATCAAGATAAGGTACTTAATACTTTCATTACCTTTGAAATGTTTTCTCCTTAAAGGCCGAGGTTTTCAACCGTCCGGTTTTCCTCAGGTAAGTTTGGTGTGGGGTGGAGCTTAATCGAAGCGGATGAGAAGTCCCGAGGGAACGACGCTGGCTTGTGTATACTACCTATATACACAGGATGTTACCTGAGCCCCTGAGTGTATTACCTGTATGCGTTTACCTACGACTTTGTAAACCGAGGCCGTTTTTTTTCATGTTTAGCTCATGAATTGAAATGTGAAATAAAGCATTTTTTTGTAACAGACAGAATCCTTCTCAAATTCTTTCTTTTAAAACAAATGATATTTTTAATAATTCGACATTTTTTATATACAGTGTGTTTCTTAATGAAGTGTTATAACGAAAATACATATAGCACCAAAATCTGTCGTTGTAATCTGGCGACAAAAAGGGAAGTAATTCAAATTACACGTCGTCTACGCAAAATGGAAGAAGAAAGTGAATCATATAAAACAGTCTCTCGGTAAACTTAGAAATGATGTCTTGAGAATAAAATGTTGAAGTAGAAATATTATTGTCTAAATAAATATCTTTTTAAGATAAACCCTACTTGATTTTTCCATAACGCATGGTCGGTAAAAATGGCCAGGGCTTCGGACCGGGGTTGATTCCCTGACAGCTATGAAACGGGAAAAGAATCATCTGCATCGTTTTTTCTTTCTTTCAGGATTCATTATTAATATTTCAAACATTAAATACAAAGCAAGATGTTATATTCTGAGAAATTTCTCTTCTAAAACTTATTATTATACCGTAACTTCGTCGCCATGTCTCGAAGAAAAGCGATACGTACAGGTTTGTCTTATAAATATAAATTCGCTTGACTCATGAACATTGTTACAATGTTGTCGTACTTGTTTTAAAAAATAATTTTATTTAATTCCATGATACTAGCTTCAAAGGCAGGTCGGTTTATTTTGTTAATTAATGGAGGAATAAATGTACGTTAACTCATGTTTTGACACGGAAATTAAAATTCGATTGTAATCGTGATACGAAATCCTCCCTTTTAAAATTAAATTTATAATATATATTATATAACCATGATTTCCTTGTCATTTATTCAATAATTTGATAGATTGATTTTATTTATGGCATATTGTTATGAATGAAAAAAAAAGAAAAGAACGATTTGATTGCTTCTTTATCACGTTGGCATACAGTGCGGTAGGCATCAAAAGCCTGAAAGTTAATTCGATGGTCGGTACGATCTCCAGACAAGGTACACAAGACAAACACAACAACAGCAAACTAAATGTCAATCAAATCAAAGTATCCAATCCTAGGCTTAATTTCAGATGATTGACAGAGGTTCTAAGACCAGGTAAATTTGAAGGAGGTGCTTATTTCCTCCACCTTTAAACTCCTGGATCTTTAACACAATCTTTATGATATTACAATTCTCTCAATTTTAATGTTAATGGGTATATTTAAATATTTTCAGAGAAGAAAAATAATATGAGCGCACACTCTGATCTGCAAAGTAAACCTTGTCTTGAAATCCTCAGAAACATTTACAATTTCTTATTTTTTATTAGAGGTTGCGCTCTTTATTAAATGTTGAAAAAAAGCTTCGCAAATTATCTGTTGTTATAGACTGTGATGTCGATGTTTAACATTGACACTAAAGCACACTACTAACCGTCCACCCTGCTCCATCTGTCGTCATCTTACAGAAGACCTCTCTCTAGGTGTTGTTGATGTATAACATTAACAATAAAACACACTACTCACAGTCCATCCTCCTCCATTTGTCGTCATGTCACAGTAGATCTCTCTCTAGGTATTGTTTATGTATAACATTGACAATAAAACACACCACTCACCGTCCAGCCTCCTCCATCTGACGAAATGTCGCTGAAGACCTCTCTCCAGTGTTGTTTATGTACAACATTCACAATAAAACACACTACTCACCGTCCAGCCTCCTCCATCTGTCGTCATGTCATAGTAGACCTCTCTCCGTGTGTTGACGATGTATAACATTGACAATAAAACACACTACTCACCGTCCTTCCTCCTCCAACTGTCGTCATGTCATAGTAGATCTCTCTCTCTGTGTGTTGACGATGTATAACATTGACAATAAAACACACTACTCACCGTCCAGCCTCCTCCATCTGTCATCATGTCACAGTAGACCTCTCTTCGGGTGTCAGGGTAGATTACATACACTCCGTCTTCTCCTTTCTTGCTGGGGTCTCTTTGCAAAATATCTGAACAGTCGTAATATATCTTTCCTATTTAGTTTAAAAAATATAAACAATTAATTCAATATCTGATTGCATTACACATTTTTAAAACATATCATTTATTGAATAAGTTATAGATTCATTGAGTGTCTTTGAATTTTGATCGAATGCTAGCCTCTTTTGCAGACTTAACTGTTGTGAAGAAGAAACTTCAAGAGTATACTGTGCACCAATGTATTTGAGAAGTGGTGTAAATCAGATGTGGATACTTAAATATTCCAAGGAACTTTTTGAAAATTTAGAATCACAAGATTTTACCAAATTCAACAGCTTAGAAACTTACGACTTTTCAAATTTAGATGCAACCATTTCCCACGATAAATTAAAGTCCAGATTTTTAATACTTTTTCTATAAAAAATGGAACATACATTGTCATTGGTCATTGCAGAATCATTTTGTTAAAAACGTTCTAATTCTACACACAAGTACTCTGATGTTGACATTAACCAGATGCTTGAGCGTCCTTTGACCGGTCCTTTGGATGGAACCTTATACTCCTATGTCACCTGTCGAAGTAGGTGCCGGCACGAAAAAGATCCCACCATACTCAACGACCCTCAATGTCGAGTACAGGACAGAGTTTGTAGCTATCCATCGGCAAGTTGTGGCGTCTCAATATGTGTGTAAAATTCGTGAGAGGGATGTTAAGCAATATAAAATCAATATACAATCCAACAATTTATCAGATTTACCATTGGTTCAATTGCGCCCCATTATTATCAAACCCATTTTTGTATTCATATGAGGCAGAATATTTTCAAAATCGTATACATGAAAAGAAAACATTTGCTTTAGCCATCAACTCGACAGTTAGATATATTGACGACGTATTGTTAAATTACTATTAGTTATATTTATTGACATGTCGATACGATACGGCCCTTTAACAAACAAGCTTTATGAAACACGTGCTGACTTTTCAATCGTCGATTTCCCTTCCTAATGCAGCAATATACACACATTCAACACATACATACAGAGTTTATATTTTCAATATATACGATACTTAAGAGCATGCTTTACATAAACTAAGTACAATTTCAAAAACGAAGTAAATTGTTTAAAAAGAGGTTGATGTGGCAAGAATATCAGCAGTCTCAATTAAAGTCATTATTGCCGGGTTCTAGGGTCGATACAATAACCTTGTCAGCATATACATGCCATTAGGTTCCTTCTTTGCACAAATGCGAAATGGTTTGTGGACATTGAGAAATATATATGAGAAAAAATGGTTAACATTGAGCTTATCTGTTCAATTCTTATTATATTTATAGTAAATGGCATTTAACCCCTTGAAAAATGTAAAATCACAATACTGTATCAGAGAAAGAAATAACTAGTATTTTCTGATATATAGAAAATACATGTTAAAACATATTCAAAAATAAATTATATTGGCCTTTTAAACTGTAAAGAATACTTGATTGATACATTAAGTATTATACTGTTAATTCCTATTTTAGTTTAGATCTTTAGAGTTTAGATCTAAGGGCCAATCACTCTAGCTGCAAAATTGCAATTGAATCAGAACTCTTTGGTGTGCAGTGAAAGGAGGCAAAAATAAATAATACAAATAAAAAGATAACAATCTTAATAAAGCATTATTTTTTGTTTAACTTAAAAAAAAGGGTAATTCAAGCTTTGTCAATTTAAAAGACATTTGTTCGATACATTTTATTGCTTTTATACCTTACCCTCTAAACAGGAACGCATCTACTAGCAATACATATTTCATCCTCAGTGCACGAATGATTCAGACAAATGCCCACGAAGCGCTAAAGTAAAAATAATATAGATTTACGATTACTAAAGTATCTTTCTAAAATCATTTTCATTTAAATGTTAACATCTCCTTACCGTTGGAAATATTTCCCGATGGATATGGAAGGATGGGCCTTTAGTCGTTAGACTTAGGTCATTCTCTATGTCAAATCTTGTATTTAGCCGGCATGCCCTTTTTTCGTGTATCCAATCCACTGAGCGACACAATTTAAACTTATAACAAATCATCATGCACATTGCAATGTCTGCATTTGTCAAAAGGTTAAAACCAGGCATTAAGGAGTTGTTATGATTGCTAATTAGCAACGTTTTGATATCGAATGGGTCGAAGCACTGTGAGTTGCATGTCTGTAAGAGGATCAGAACTTGTCCAAAACGGTAAAGAGTGATTATCTTACCGATTTTCAAATTTCGAATTTATTGTCGTTAGCTTTTAACAGGACAATTAATGTTTTACTGAAATATATATAGTAGTCGTTAAGGTCTGTCTGTTGCAGATTGATGAAGTCTCCCAAGATAGTTTATATTGTAGTATTGATAAATAATCAAAACACTTATATTTATTAAAATTTTGAAAGCTTTTCGTGAACTGGAAAAAATATCATTTTAAGTATATCAAATATTCATTAAAAACCGAACCATCAAAAGTTTCCTCATCTTGATCAAAATTTTCTTAGTTGATTGTATTTCAGTGTAAAGGCTCTCGAAAAGTAATACTTTAAGATCGAATGCTAAAAGTCAAGTCTGATGTAAGCTGTCATTATTTGCTTGAGCTCTGGGAATTGTCTCTGTTATGTCTTTATATAGCGTGCC